ACTATAAATATTATTTTCTTTACTCTCGTCGATAATATAATAATATATATTTATTTATTACTCTTTTCGAGTTATAGTCTTAATTCTATATAAATTATAGTTATTAGGAAATCTTTACTAGATAGTTTCCTAAATATAAGTATATCTTCCGTTACTCTCTTTAGTTTCTTTTATTATATCGCGTTAAGAAGACTTTTAATACTTATATTTCTAATCTAGTTTCGTTCTCTCTCTTCTTTAATTATAACTATAAGTTTCTAATCGCGTCTTTTTATAGATATATAGTAGTCCGTTTAGTAAGTTTAGGAAAAGGACGGAAAGGCCGTAATTTAGCTCTAGATATAATTTTAGCTTTCCTCGTTTTCTATTATCTTCTTCTTAATTTCCTTTATATTTTATAGAATCTATTCGATTATATTTAGTATTTTCTAATTATATAATTACGCGTTTTTCTTTCGATCGCGTTCGTAACGCGTAGAGAGTGCGCGTAGATATATATAGATAGTATCGCTAGAGAGCGTTTCCTTCTACCGTCTACGTTTATAGAGATATTTCTCTATATCCTATAGGGTTTCTCGTCTTTTCTATCCTATCGGTTCTCTTCTTACTCTCTCGGAGCTATTCGTAACTTCGCGTAACCTATTGCGTGGAATTCTTTCCTAAGATAACTTAATTATATTATTTATTAATAGATATAAAGTAATAATAATAACTAAGAAAGAGTTAAAGATACTTTAAGTATTTTCTTATTATTTAAAAGAAGATATTATAATCTAGTATAGCTAATTATCTTAAGAGATTAGAGAAGCTATAAATTATTTCTTAGAAGAGTAGAATAATTAGCTTAAGATAGAGTTTAAAACTAACTTAATTAAGATATATAAGAAGACTAAGAAGATCTATTTTCGCTTTTCTTAAATAAATAAATTATCGCTAAACTAGTATCTTCGTTAAAAGAGAATATATCTCTAAGATATCGATATTATAGACTAAACTATATTAATATAAGAGATTTAGAATAGTCTAGATTCGGAAATTAGATATATTATATCTATTATTAATATAGAAAGATAGTAGGATTTCTATATATAAGTTAGATAGAACTAAATCCTAGTTATAGACTTATATAAGTTATAGATAAGAGCTAGATTAGCCTAATTCTAGGCGAGAATAGAGAATAATAATATATATATTAACTAATTTTAAGATAACTAAGATAGATTCTAAAGATATAAGTATAATATCTAGAAGTAAAACTAAAAGCGTAGTTTAGAAGAGAATAATAGAGTAGTTAAAGTTAATATATTATCTTTATATAAACTAAGTAATAGTAAATCTATAAACTAGAAGAAATATAATCGCTAACTTAAGTAGTAATAATAGTAAAGTAATAGATTATTTAGACCTTAATTAAGAGATTCTAAGGACTAGAAAGCTTATCTAGTTAAGAATAATAAGAGAGTATAAATTATAGAATTATAACGAAAATAATAACGACGAGAATATAATATATCTTATAAAATACTAATTTAACTTAAGATCGGAATTAGAAAATAAATAAAAAAGATTAACTAAGATAGCGATTATCTTTTAAAAAATTACGATCTATTTATAATAAACGAGAAAGCGAATTTAGATATTAATATTTTAAATATATATATTATAAAATAAGTCGCTATATACGAGTCTCGATTATAAATAACTCTAGATAAGTTTTCGTTAACTAAGATAGTAAATCTAGATACTAGATAGCTAAATAAGACTAAGTAAGACTCTATCTTTAGAGAAGACTATAAATAGTATAATATAGCTAGAGCGATATATTATAATAAATTATTAAGTAAGATAGTATCTATTTATATTAATATAAACTTTTCTATCTCCGTTATAAACTAGAAATATCTTAAGAAGTTCTTTTAAGATATCTAGATTAAGATAGCGAAGAGTAAAATAAAGATAAATATTATAAAAGAAAGATATAAGATAACTTAGTATATAAATATTAATATTTATCTATAGTTAAATAATAGATATATAGTAACTATCTAGAGTTCGATCTATATTCTATCTAGACTTTCCTATAATATATTTATAGCTAATAATATACTTTTTAAGTATATAGTAATCGTAAATATAGAGAAGAAGTTATTTACTCTAGGAAGAACTCTATATTAAATACTAATATCGATTATAAAAGCTAAACTTAAAGTAGATCTAACGCCGTTAATATCCCTTATCTAGAGATGAATATTGAGATAATATAAAATAATAGTCTTTATAACGGAAATAAGAAATATAGATTTAGATATAGAATAGTATATCTCTATTAAATATATATCTTTATTAAAAGAGAAATTATATATATTTATACTCTTTTCTATAGTAGATACGGAACGCGAAATAGTTACGAACTACTTAAAGATTATTATATTAGATAATCTAGAAATACTTTTATTCTCTAACTTTAGAAACCCTCACACCCTCGGCCCTATCGTTAACTAGTTCGTCCAAGATATATAGCTAGTTAGGGCTCCCATTGCCTTCTAGGCTATTAACGAATATCATATTTAAGTTGCTATTATAATAGTATACGTATAACTCTTTCCTCTAAGGATACTCTTATTCTTCGTATATAACGCTAGTAGCTAGTAGTAGTATATATACTTCCTTAGGTATTGGAAACTCTAGGTATTTCGGATCGACGTTATAATAATATAGATATTTATCTTTTTCTTCGTAGAGTATCCCGTTATACTCTAGTCTTCTATAGTAATAATCTAGATTATATCGATTATCGATTACTTTCCATTTCCTTAATAGTCCTATCCGAGAGAATATTAGCTCTATAATAACCTCTTTTTCTCTCTAGACTAACTCTTTCTAAGTTCTCTATTAGACGACTTCTACTATAGTTTCTTCTAGTATATTAATCCTAATCGTATTAGATTCTACCGATTAGTACGTATAGGAGTTCTCCTTTTCTTTATAGTCTTAATCCTAATACTACTAAAGAGTAACCTTACGTATTATCGCTCTTAGGAGTCTATATAGTATAAATATAACGTGTCGGTATTCTCCGTCGTATATATAGTCTTCCTTATATAGTTTTATATCTTAATAGTTTATTGCGATTTCTACTTTCTCGCTATCCGTATTGAGGACGACGTACTATCGGGAGACAATATCGTTATATATTGTTAAGTTCTCGTCTTCTTTATCGATAACTATTCTATCGTCTCTATAACTATCGTATAGTGTATATCCTCTCTCGCAACCCGTAATTAGATCTTCGTCGTTATCTATATCTCCGATATTAGCCTACGCTTCTAGTAGATACGCGACTACATTATACTCCTAGCATCTCGAATACGTATAATCTCGGTCGATATAGCGAACTACTTTAGACGACTCGGATCTTATTATCATATTAAGACTTTATAGTGATACTATCGATATCGTTATTATTTCTTTACCTTTTCCGATATACGAATACTCCCCTAGAACGGTATGTTCTACGTTTCGATATATTTAGAGATATACTAATATAGGTTTATTCGGGGATTAACTTAAGTTAATAACCCTAAATCCGAAGAAGTATAGATTCTTTATCCCTAAGATTAAGATCTTAGACTATTATACAGATCACTAGGGTATATATCTAGTAATAAAGCGAGTTAATACATTTCGGAATTAGTCGACGTCTATAGATAATAAAGAACTTATAAGATTTATCTATTAATTACTATATATTATACACTTTATCCCTAATAGGGTAGACTAGGATAGACTATTAAAGATAGTAATTATCATAGAGTAAGACAAGATATAACTTAATAGAAAGAAGCGTAAAGTGTCGAGATACCTAGCGTAGAGGACTCGATAATCTTAAATCTTAACTATACGGAGATTGACGACGATCTAGATAATATCTTTAAGATCTTAAGTTAGTATAATAACGAAAATAGATCTCTAGATAATAGCTCTAACTTATATACTAGCGATCGCTATCTATTTTCTCGACTCTTCTCTATAAACTCTTTATCTATTTCATTAGCTAGTATTATAAGTATATACGATAATAAAATAAGAGACGTCGAAAAGATTCCCGATTTTAGATATTCGTTATTAGAGATAGAGGACGATTTAAATTTTAATACTCTATTCGATTAATATCTTTACTTATTCTTACTTTCTATTTCTTCTTTATTGAGAGATACGATAAGCGAATTAAGTAAAATTATATTAAATACTCTTAAACTCGCGCGGTATTATAATCTAGTCGAATCGTTAACGGAGATATTAATCTATCCTAGTCTAGAAGATATATAATAGAGAGAGAGAGAGCGTATTAAAATAGAAGATCGTCATTCTAGCTCGAGTAGCTTAAGTAGTCCGAGTAGTCTTCGTATACGACTACGAGTCGGCTAACCTAAGATTACGCTCCGGCTTAAACTCTAAGATATAGATTATTATAGAAAGAGACGAAATAAGAAAACTAAGAAGAAGTAGAAAGGTAGGAGGACGAGATAAAGAAGGTAGAGACGCCGAAGGCGCTAGAAGTATCGTAGTAATAGATAGTATAAATATATTTAATATTATATTATAATTATAATATTATTCTTAATCCGTCTAGTAATATCGCGAGCTAGAAGATTTTCTAGACGATACCTTTCGACTACTCTCTATACTTACGGAATAGGCGCTTAGATAATAGTCTAGTCCGTACGCTATTCGCTACTATAGGCGCCTAGCTCCGTTTTAAGTTATCACTACGTCTTCTTAATTAAGAATTAAAAGGGAATCTAAAAAGGTCGATTACTATTTCACGAGGTTTATTAGAGAATAATTATAGACGATCCCTAACTCCGATGAGATAACTTTAAAATATATTATCTAAGATAGCGTTATAAACCACTATTTATGAGGTTCTACCGGAGAAAGAAGACCGATAAACCCCTATCGCGCTAAGGGGAAGGCGGTTTAGAACGGTTCCTGGCCTCCTACTTCATCCGAGAAGGAAACATGCGAAACTCGGCAAATTTGATTTCCCAGATGGGGAAGGCCACGAAGACCAAAAATGCACCTAGAATCAGTGGGACCAGGGCGTGAGCGGAGGACCATTTGTATTGGTAACCACCCCATTGCAAACCAGCGAGGAACAGGACCAAGCCAGATATACTGAGAAAGCCTCCAACAAAATCGATTTCGCCGATCATTTCCTTCTTCGTAAGTCCTCGAGAATTAGGACGTGGAGGAGGGAAATAGAAAAATAGGGTGCCGAAGAAGCCGATGGCGGCCCAGATGCCTGATAGGAGGGCGCAGTATCTCCAGGTACCGTGATAGGCGATCAACTGACCATAGAGAACGGAGGGACAGAAGGGCACTATGGTGAAGACGAGGATGGCAACGTAAACTCCCCGCTTGCGTGTTGGTGCCAATTCTGATGTGACCGCAAGGGAGTTGAGTTCGCATATGCCGGCGCCCACACCAGAAATTCCCATCCCAGCTGTCGAAGAGGTTAGATACGTGGGTTTTGTCAGAGAAGACTTCAAAAGACTCACCGATAAAAGTGTCCATGTCTTTAGCCGTGCCGGCAATGATCATGGCAACAATCAGGAGGACAGAGCCCAAGAGGGAGACATAGCGACGTCCAATCAAGTCAGATAGGGAGCCCACAAAAGGGCAAATGGAGGCGAGGGTTAAGAGATAGGCAAGGACAAGCCAGGTCCATCGGTCTACTCCGCCGATGTCGCTGTAAATATAGGGCGTGATGCCGCCGAGAAGATAGACAGGGATCTGAGAACCAGTCCACAGGAAAGCCTGGGCAACTAAGGCCAAAACTCGCTTGGTAGTCCACGGAGGCTCGCGATCATGATCTTCGTCGTCACCATAAGTTCTCAGGCCATCTTTTTCGTAAAGATATAGTTAGCCGATGCTTAAGTCGCGAGCGAGACGATTACAGAAACTGAGCGCTTGCGGGCCACGACAAAGCAAAGACGGGCAGGAATTTCGTTGCGCATTCTCTACCTATGTGCCTGAGTTGCAACGTGTGCAGTGTGCAGCATCAGCTGTCTTCGCAGTATTATTGAAGCTGAGCCAGAAATCCATCTTTAAAGAATGTGTTGTTTGAGCTTCACCTCCGTGGGCCACTGGTGGCAGTCCATTCTCGTCGCAAACGGGTTCTCGCAGACATGACTTGACCGCATAACTTCGCGGCTTCGATATCAACGGCCGACTCATCGCGGTTTCTAACCTTTACCGAGGCCAGCAAGGACAATTAGTGCCACGTTCAGTACCACCAGAAGCAGCCAGACGAGAACACCCAAGACCGCCACCCACCAGCTGTTCCGCATATTGACACTGATGCCCTCGTCGACCCTGTTGCCATCGGCATCCGAGGTCACTGTCATGATGCTAGACTTGCAGGTGAACCAGATCAGCGGCGCTGACACGAACGGCAGCGCAACGCTCAGCGCAATCTGACTATTGTTCAGTGCCTCGCTCACGCCCTTTTTGCCAACGGCTGCGGCGACAACGATACTGGGGATGATACTGATCGATCGAGTGACCAGCCTGCGCACCCATGGTCTGGTCTGCCACTGCAGCATGCCTTCCGAGACCATTTGGCCTGCCATCGTGCAGACAATCCCCGCAGAAGTGCCGGACATGAGAAGAGCGAGGGCGAAGATGACACCGGCAACTTTCCCTAATGTCTGGTCTAACAGCGCGTGGATTCCAAAGAGGTCAGCGTTGGCCGCATCGTTATTGCCGTACAGCGAGGCACCTGCGACGATAAGTATGGCGCTGTTGACAAACAGAGCAAAAGTAAAGAGGGCTGTGACAAGCTCGACAATCGAGTACGTGAGACATGATCGGATGGCTTGGATTGAAGGTCGATATTTGTCCTTAAGATCCTGCGTTTCCGTGTACGCCGGAGGTGTGGAAGCGTCGTAATGTTCGTCGAATAGTTTGAGTCGTGGCTGAACAATACCAGAGCCGAGGAAAATTGCGTGTGGCATTACCGTGGCTCCTATGATACCACAAGAAAGGTAGACACCATTCCCGTCTATGACAGCCGATGAAGGGACAAACCCCAGAAACACTTCTCTGGCTGATGTATGGCGGATATACGTCAGCTGAATGCAGAAGCAGATAAAAACGCCCAGTACGAGTGCTGAAACGAAGTATTCGAAGAAGCGGAGCCTTCTAATTGACCCGTCCTCTGGATTGTAGAAGGCTAAAAGTATGAACACGTCGACCAAGCTAATGGCGCAGCCAGCCACCAGCGGAATGTGGAACAGTAAGTTGAGTGATATTGCCGTGCCAAGGACTTCAGCGACATCGGTCGCAACGATCGCAGCTTCTGCAATGATCCAGAGGAAGTAGACCACGTATCGAGGTAAGTGCTTTCGACAGTTCTCGGCCAAGTTCAGCCCGGTTACACTACCAAGCCTGATGCACAAGGACTGCAAGAAGATAGCGATGAGGTTAGACAAGAGGATTATGAACAGATGGCGGTAGCGTGTTTCTGCCCCGGCTTGAACATCAGTCGCGTAGTTGCCAGGGTCGATGTAAGCCACAGAAATGATGAAACCTGGGCCCACGAATTTGGCATACTTGAACATGACATCCAGAGTCTTGGAATGCCATGGCCGTGGCTGGGGGGCCCTAGCTCCTGCGGTACCGTCCGTCTGTGTACAGGTCGAGATCTCAGTCTCGAATTCAACGGCTTTGTTCCGGTCGCCGTCACAAGTATTCGCTGCGGTGCTCGGGCCACCGTCCCTGGTGTTATCCTGAATGCCCAGTACTAATGGAGCAGTACACTTGGAATCGAGATGTATCGAGCTTTCGTGCTCTCTCCGCGCTCGTTGATTAACCACACCATTGAGATCTGCCCTAGTGGTAGCGTCAGAATTCATTTCATGGGGACTTTGGTTCCAACCCGGGTGCTTATCGACATCGATCTGATCTGGACGGCTTGGGCAATTCATGATGGTTGACCTGCTGTCCACAGCTAGTAGGGAATACAGCAATATCTAGATAAGGTTGGAGATTGAAACAAAAATGCCACTGTCAGGTACAGTGTTTGTACTTGAGAAAGGACACTTACGGTTAAGGTTTCCAGCTTCCGAAAATACCCGTTTTGAACGGGAACAAACAACGTACCTTGGTATAGAGGTGGAGATCGAGATCCTGGCAATGCGAGGACCTTAGCTCCTGGACCCGAACCGTTGAGGATTGATTGGCCGAAGGGGAAGTTGGGGCAGGGTTAAACTATTCCCCTACGTTGGCTTGGCCGGAGTTATCGCGAGGCGAATGCCCGTTCGCCGGACACCTCCACTCTTCGTTGTCAACTTGATTGTACTTTCATCCGGCAGAAATTTCCCGGACGCCTCAGTCAAAAGTATCAAGCGGGCTGCTTTTGAATCGGCCTGGAGGCTTAGCTATTGGATGGGCCTAACAGGTTCCAGCGCTTGGATCCACTATGTGACTGCTGCCCGGCCCGTCCGTTCCACGGTCCCACCTATACATAGCCATCCCCCCGGCCTAGTGTCGAGTTAGATAATATATTGAGAAGCGAGAGGATTATCACCTTTAGCGTTTCTTTTTGGTCCATGAGAATGCTTCAACATATGCACATTCAGGTGATTCAAATTGCCATGAGCTTTTTCGCAACCATTCCACTCACATTTATACAGCCTCCCGATTTCCTCGGGTTTTCGACGGGGCCTCTTGGGCTGTTCATTAGAAGCACTACGGCTGTCCAATGGATATAGAATGGGCAAAGGACGGTGGCTTAGGCAAATTATTCGTCGTCCAAGCACGTCCAGAAACAGTCCAGGCCCGTCGTGAAGCCGGCGTCTTCAAAATATACAGTATCGGCAAGAAGGGTCGTCTTCTCACTAGAGGGCTGTCCGTCGGAGAGGCCAACGTCACTGGCCGTCTTTGCCTCATCGAAACAGCTAGGGATATCGACAAATTATTGACGGCTCAATCTTGGTGACGGAAACAACTGACCCGCACGGACTACGGCGGTCGTACATCTCATGCTGCTATTATCAGTCGTGAGCTCGGTGTCCCTGCGGTCGTGGGCACCGGCAATGCCACATACGTCCTTCACACAGGCCAAGATGTTACTGTTTCCTGCGCAGAAGGCGATGAAGGTTTTGTCTACGAAGGGATCGCTGATATCACTACCAAAGAGCTGGACATCACCGGTCTTTCACCAACCCGTACGAAAGTCATACTCAACCTGGCCAGTCCCGCATCCGCCTATCGCTGGTGGAGACTCCCGGCTGATATCATCGGTCTTGCACGCATGGAATTCGTTGTCAGTAGTCACATTCAAGTGCATCTAATGGCACTTGTTCGCTTTGACCACCTGAAGAATGAAAAGGCCAAGAGAGAAATTGCCAGACTGACCGTAGGCTACGCGGATAAGCTAGAGTATTTCGTTGATAAGCTTGCACGAGGACTGGCCTGTCTGTGTGCGGCAGTCTATCCTAAGCTAGCAATTATCCGTTTAAGTGACTTCAAGACCAATAAATATGCTAGTCTTATAGGAGGAGAAGAGTTTGAGCTAAAAGAAGAAAACCAAATGCTGAGATTTCGTGGTGCCTCACGTTACTACTCACCGCGGTATAAAGAAGGATTCGCGCTCGAATGTAAAACGATTAAGCGACTGCGTGAGGAGATGGGTTTCACGAATGTTATTGTTATGGTTCTATTCTGCCGTACCGTTGGCGAGGCGGCAAAGGTGCTTGAAGTTATAGCTGAGAACGGATTGAAGCGCGGTGAGAATGGGCTGTAGGTGTATGTCATGTGCGAGATCCCATCGAATATCATTCTGGCTGCCGGGTTGTCACGTGCGACGCTAGCACGAGTTTAGACTAGCCTGACTCTACAGCCTCTTTATTTTAGCAAGTCGAGTTATAGACTCTCGTTCTTATCTCTCGGTAGACAGAATAGACATAAATAAACAACCCTTACCATTACGGTAACTATCTCCCTTTTTCCTAGTTGTAGACTAGTATCAAGACCTATTTAGTTAACGTCTTACAACAAACTAGTAGTAACGCTTTCTCCGCTAAAAATCTTACTATAAGATTTAGAGCGATCCTCGAAGGTCTTCCGTAGTATTATACTCGGTCGTCTTTTATATATCGACTTTCCTCTATCTCGTCTACTTACCGAATCCTCCTCTATAATATCTTAATAAAGTCTTTATATCGAGAAATATTAGTAGAAGAGAACTTTAAAATTTAAATATCGATACTTAATAGTTAGGCTTAGGAAGACGTAACGGTAGACTACTACTACCTAGATCGCTATCTTAAAGCGCTAGATCTACTTAATCTACGGCTTAGTCCTTATAGTCCCTATCTCTATCTACTTCTTATACTCCGGTCCGTTTACGATAGAGAACGCTCGATAGTAACCTAGCGCTTACCTAAAATACGCCCCTATCTCTTTCACCTAAAGTAATTATATTACGGATATCACTTATAGAAGAGTAGGAAAGAAGTACACTATAGGTAATAGGAGCTTTTCTAATATAATCTTAATAAGAGCCTTCGTTACCACCTCTATACCTAATCTTATTTATTCCTAGGAGTAGGATAAATCTTCCTAATCGTTTCCCCTATAATATCTAAAATACTTCTTATCCTCTTCCTATTAGGCTATCTATAGTCTATTAGACTCCCGCTTTCTAGTAACTAAGAGAACCCCTTTCCGGAACCTAAAGCTCGACCTTAACGATATCTAGAGATTCTACTTAGTTACTAGACTTAGGCTTTTATTCGGTTAATTAACGTCTAAACTAAGGTCCGTAAACTACCTAGCTATTAGTTACTAGTCCTTCTAACTTAAGCTATTAAACTTTCGACTCTTTATTATTACTAGATTACTAATTAGACGTTATAGAATCTATAATTACTAGACTCTCTTCTATAGCTAGATCGTCTATTAATAGTAACTTTCTACCGGGCCCCGTATCTTCTACTATATTAGCTACGGTCTCTCTAATAGATCTAGATCCGAGTACTACCTATTTAAAGAATAAGTATCGCCGTGACGCTAAATTTATCCTTCTTATTTATAATCTTCTAGAGAATAAGATCGATCCTTATATAATAGCTCTTCTTAGCGATACTATTATTAAAATAGTCTATAGAGTAGTCTTAGTCCTCGATCCTAAGACTCGCTAGGAGAATTAAGTTAAGGTTATATAACGTTATTATTTAGATAATTATATCTTCTCTAAAGCGAGATCTTAAGTTTTCCTTACTCGCTTTAATACTAGCTCTATACTTACTCTAGATCCTCCTTAAGCTAGGTCTACTTAAGATTATTAATGTCGACGTTATGTTACGAGTCGCCTTACAACACGTGAGGTATCAACGAGCAAACCCGAAGCGGTTTACTTGGTAATATAGTAGTGGGGCTCAATGTAGCAGAGATGGAAACCAAGTGTATAGTATATAGCTATACGCAAAGCGAGTAATCGAGAACAACTCGATTATTTTGTAATTGAGGTTGACTATGCCGGAAAGCTATGGATTGTGCTGAGACTATATAGACAAAGGAGATTCGTATAGATCTGTATGGCTCTGTTCAGCCTTGGGAGCACGACAGAGCACGTCACGTGCCTTAGGTTGTGTCGTCACTCCTCTCGGCAAACCTTCTCTTTGTTCTTGTGCGTTGGCCGTCCTCTTGGCCTGTTCGTAATATGTAGCTAACTCTTGCCCGTTGGCCAGTTTATTATAGATAGGTATCCTACTGTATCTTCTGAGAGAGGCTCGCGATCAATTTGTGACGGAGTTATAGCTTAGGATCCTCAAATGAAACACCCACTTCGTCTCGAATTATTCGTATTGTGCTTATTGATTTGTTTTTCGAATAAAGATCGTCTATAGGGCATCGATCGGATCTACTTGAATGCTAAGATCTCCTACTTTATGGTATCAGTAATGTTTAGCGAAGTAGTAGAGCTGCCTACGGATATGCTGGGATAAGAGACTGTGATAAATATCGCGGCACTTCGCCCGTTATTGATTTGCTGGTCTACCTGTATTATTTGTCACGAGATTGGTTATTATAGTGAATTAGGCCTACATCATTACCCATAGAGAATAGCTGGCAAGTTTTCAAAGATTCTAGCTGACTATAAAATCTAGTGGTTGACTATATACGTATTACCGCGTTCTTCTGTCTCCTGGAAGACCCTGTAGTGAATGCCACGACATTCTATAGTACCTGTATGGCTTCCAAAATTGGAGTAGCAAACCACGAGTGACTGTGGCCTGTGAGATATGGAGGCCGGGTGGCACCTTTGTGGCCATCGAAGACTCTAGTGTTGGCAGTGTAACAAGTATAGTATATGATCCTCTCCGGCTTGATTGATTGTTTAATTCGTACTAGGTGCTACAGTAGTAGAATTTTCCCACCGTACGAGCTACGCACTCCTACTGTCTCCATGTCCTCTATTATGCGACGGGGTGACTCTAGTCGAGCAAGATTGCGGTAGGTGAAGGGTTACGACAATCTCATCCGCTAGACGACGGATGCGCTCACGCTGAAACCCATAAAGCCTGCCACGGAGGCCCTCTACCGCATCGCTCTACATGAGTGGGATCTGTATTGTCTCCGAAGACATAGAGCTCGCCACCACTTGCCCCTTTCCCTCCTTCTCCGTCCCCCCCTTGACTTCCTTTATTTGCCTCTCTATATGTTGATTTATATCCTAGAGCTTAAGGCGAAGTATGATTTTTAGTTAGCTTACCCGTAGTCGTATACGAGAGCTATTCGAGTTATAATTACGATCCTCTACTTAACGCCTAGCTCCTTCCCTCTATTATATATCCGCTAGAGATAGACTATTATATATATCTATTAACGGCTCTACGAGATCGGTATATCGGTCGCCTTTAGTATTAGTTACTATTATTCCGTTTAATCCGCTAAATATATCTTTTAGCGACGAGGAAGGCGGAAGCGAAGGCGAGTAGGCGAGTAGAGATATTAATCGAATAGCGTATTGAAATTTGAATCGTTATCGGCGTCTACTAGTAGTACTCTAAAATCCGAGATCTCTTTAACGCTTAATACTTCACTATTATCCGCGCTAGGAATACTAGTAGGAGAGATAGCTAAAGAATATATAGAGAGAAATTTAGAGAATAGGCTATCGTAGCTAGGATAGGGTAAGGAACTATTATTTATAGACTAATTCTCGTTAATACGCTAACTCGGGTCACGAAAAATATCAATTAGATCGTACTAGAACTCTATATCGCCGAGAGTAGATAGTGTAGAATTATTTACTTAAGGAAAAAGCGAAGTATTCGAGTTATCGTTAGCTAGAACGTTAATTTATTCGATAATTAATAGAAATAGAGAGAAAATTATTAGACTTATAAAGTAAACCTTTTTATAGAGGCTAAGGAGAATAGATATCGAATACTTATTATAAATAGATAGTAGAACGTACTCGGTAGAATCTCGTCCGAGGGTATTATCGCTACTCGAAATCTTCCGCTTATAAGTCGCTAGAGTAGACTCTTTCGTAATACTCGAAGATTTATCCCGTTAGTGTAGTTCGGAGAGGTCGATACTTATAGATTAGCGAGATTATATTAGGTTTAGGTAATAATTATCGATAGGGAGAGGTTATCGAGGGCGACGTAGTCTCTCTCTAGATCTCCCTTAGGGTCGCTTCCTAGCTTACTTCGGCTAATATTTCTATAGCTTAGAGACTATTACTTTCTTAACGACGGGAGTCTTAGGAGTATTATTCGTTATAGGAGAATAAACTTACTTTTCCTCCCTAGTCTACTAATTAGTCGATAAGGACGGAATCTTAATAGTTATATTAGCTTACTTCTTAACCTCGCTTACTAGTTCTAGGAGGTTAGGATTCTCTACTTTCTTTAGGATAGAATCTATAGTTTATTTAGAGATTCGTCCCTTCTTTCCGTATATAGTTACTAGTAATCTAGGGATAACGACTACTTAAAGTCTTTTTCGCCGTAAATAGCCGTACGTTACTCGTAGAGTTATTTTCTAGGACGAGCTATATTAGGGAACGTTAACTATATAATTTTAGGTGAGTTTAGAAGGCTTCTTAATCGGGTATATATCTTCCTCTATAGACTTATTCTAAACGGCCGCCTATTAAAGAGTACGGTTATAAACGATAATCTCGTTATACTCTACTATAGGCGTATCTACTTTATCTCTCTCCGGGGGATTATAGCCGTTAAATTATTCTACCTTAGTAATCTTTAGGGGTTTACTTTCGTAATAATATTAAATCTTTAACGTAGCGTAAGGTCTCTAAGTATTAAGACCGCTAAGCTATCGTTTTATAGAGCGCGACGTATAATTTATAAAGCTATCTCCCTTCGGCTAGAGTCTCGTCCGATATTTCGAAATATACTATAATGCTAGCGTCTTTAGACGCGGTTCTTTTAATATTTAGTATTATACTATCTACTCCCTTTCGGCGACGCTGAATAATATCTAGTGAATATTAGTAAAATATAGAAAGAGTTAATCTAAATTATCGAGTTGTTCGAACTTCCTATAGCGCGGATAGCGGTAATGTCTCGGACTGTACTCGTAAAGACTTAGGTAGTAAAGGACGTATCTTTTCTATTCGATTACGTTAGTATATTAGTAGAATCAGTCGTTAGGGTCGATATCCTCGTTATCGAGATATTCGGGATAAAAGGCTAGTCGAAGGAGATTGTAACGAAAATAGACTACGTTATATTTAAGCGGTAGTAGACCTAGTCCTCTATTAAGTCG